TTACGGAGTTTTACTCTAAAGCCATTTTCATGTTCACATCGAATCTTACTAAAGAATTCACTATGTTATTAATATTATTAATACATTAACATTATTAATACATTAAAGTTTATCACACAGACTTTTATCTATCTTTACTCCAATGATTTTTTTTTGTACACGTCTAAGTCTTATAAAGTATTCACTATATTATTAATTTTATTAATATATTAAGTTTTATTAAACGGAATTTGACAGACCTTTACCCAACAGCCTTTTTCATGTTCATTCTATTGTTAATATTATTGTTATATTATGGTTTATCAAACTGATTTTTGCAGACCTTTATTTCGAAGCTTTTTTTTCCATGTGTGCATATCAAAAACTGCTTAAGGTTCCATTATTTAATAAATGTTCTTATTCTAATATATTAGTTTTTATAACATTTATTTTTTATAAACATTTACTCCAATGTTTACATAATATACACATCTAAAAACTGCCTATGATTCACTATTATTATTATTATTATTATTTCCTTTGATTTCTGGCGTTTATACATTTCTTTCCGGGTCCCGCCCAGGGACCTAAGGTTAGAAATGGCATCATGACACTTTCCACTGACAAAAAAAAATATTACATAGATAAAGCTCTTCGTAAAGTGTGAGCTGTACTTGTCAGAACAATTTTTTGTATCTCCTTGAGGCATGGACTTCCAGGAATCCTTTCAATTAGTCTACTGGAATCTTTTCCAACCAGTCCTAGGGCTCCAACTACAACAGGGATTGTTGATGTTCCCATATGCCACATTTTCGAGATTTCTATTTCAAGGTCCTTGTATTTTGACAGCTTTTTGAATATCTTCAAAGACACATTGCAGTCAACAGGGACTGCCATATCAATAAGGAGGCACTTTTTTTTTGTTCGTGGTCTTTAATAACAATGTCTGGGCGGTTGGATTTGATTGTTCTGTCAGTGTGTAATGTGTAGTCCCATAGAATTGTAACAGGTCCTATCTCCGTAACCGGGTCTGGGTGGTGTTCATACAATTTTCTTTCAGTTTCCTTCCCGTAGAAGTTGCAGATTTTCCAGTGCAGATATTGGCCCACTCTGTCATGCCGGGTTTTATATTCAGTGGGTGCCAATATCGTGCAACCTGATACAAGATTATTATTATTATTATTATTATTAAAGATTAGGGATAATCAAAGGTAGTTTTGTTTTTATCGACATTTACTCCAATAGATATTTCATCTATACATCAGAAACTAATTCCGCCTTCTTATTAACTATCACCTATTTGATTTTTTTTAGAAATATCAGTTCTTAAGTTTATAATTAAATAAGCCCATGGCGAGTTGTACGATAAAATATCAATATAATTGCTACTATCACATTGTCATATCTTTGAAACAAATAACTTTAACAACATATTACAATAACAATCATAAATATGAACGCTGGTCTTTATTTTAAGAAATAAATGAGTGCAAATAAAAAGATTTAAAATTGACAATTTGTCTTTTTCGTTTTTCCACGTGTGCATAACGAAATAGGAGATTATTTATGAATCATTGTCCAGAGACATTAAACACTTCTTTCTTTCTTTCTTTCTTTCTTTCTTTCTTTCTTTCTTTCTACTTTCTTATGCTTTCTTTCTTTCTTTCTTTCTTTCTTTCTTTCTTTCTTTCTTATCCTTTCTTTCTTTCTTATGCTTTCTTTCTTTCTTTCTACATTCTTATGCTTTCTTTCTTTCTTTCTTTCTGATGCTTTCTTTCTTTCTTTCTTTCTTTCAGCTTTCTTTCTTTCTTTCTTTCTTTCTTCTTTCTTTCTTTCTTAGGTTTTCTCTCTTTTTCTTTTTCTTCTTTCTGTTTCTTTCTTTCTTATGCTTTCTCTTTCTTTCTTTTATCTTTCTTTCTTTCTTTCTTTCTTTCTTTCTTATGCTTTCTTTCTTTCTTTCTTTCTTTCTTTCTTTCTTATGCTTTCTTTCTTTCTTTCTTTCTTATGCTTTCTTTCTTTCTTTCTTTCTTTCTTTCTACTTTCTTATGCTTTCTTTCTTTCTTTCTTATGCTTTCTTTCTTTCTTATGCTTTCTTTCTTTCTTTCTACTTTCTTATGCTTTCTTTCTTTCTTTCTTTCTTATGCTTTCTTTCTTTCTTTCTTTCTTATGCTTTCTTTCTTTCTTTCTTTCTACTTTCTTTCTTTCTTATGCTTTCTCTCTTTCTTTCTTTCTTTCTACTTTCTTTCTTTCTTATGCTTTCTCTCTTTCTTTCTTTCTTATACTTTCTTTCTTTCTTTCTTTCTTATGCTTTCTTTCTTTCTTTCTTTCTTTCTTATGCTTTCTTTCTTTCTTTCTTTCTTATGCTTTCTTTCTTTCTTTCTTTCTTATGCTTTCTTTCTTTCTTTCTACTTTCTTATGCATTGTTTCTTTCTTTCTTATGCTTTCTTTCTTTCTTATGCTTTCTTTCTTTCTTTCTACTTTCTTATGCTTTCTTTCTTTCTTTCTTTCTTATGCTTTCTCTCTTTCTTTCTTTCTTATGCTTTCTTTCTACTTTCTTTCTTTCTTTGAAAGGTTTCTTTCTTTCTTTTCTTATGCTTTTCTTTCTTTCTTATGCTTTCTCTCTTTCTTTCTTTCTTTCTTATGCTTTCTTTCTTTCTTTCTTTCTTTCTTTCTTATGCTTTCTTTCTTTTTTCTTTCTTTCTTTCTTTCTTTCTTTCTTTCTTTCTTTCTTATGCTTTCTTTCTTTCTTTCTTTCTTTCTTTTTCTTTCTTATGCTTTCTTTCTTTCTTTCTTTCTTGCTTTCTTTCTTTCTTTCTTTCTTTCTTTCTTTCTTTCTTTTTTTCTTATGCTTTCTTTCTTTCTTTCTTTCTTTTCTTTCTTTCTTATGCTTTCTTTCTTTCTTTCTACTTTCTTATGCTTTCTTTCTATCTTTCTTTCTTTTTTTCTTTCTTTCTTTCTTTCTCTTTTCTTTCTTTCTTTCTTTCTTTCTTTCTTTCTTTCTTTCTTTCTCTTTGATTTCTTTCTTTCTTATGCTTTCTTTCTTTCTTTCTTTCTTATGCTTTCTTTCTTTCTTTCTTTCTACTTTCTTTCTTTCTTATGCTTTCTCTCTTTCTTTCTTTCTTTCTGGCTTGGTTTCTTTTTTTCTTTCTAATTTCTTTCTTTCTTTCTTTCTTTTACTTTCTTTCTTTCTTATGCATTGGTTCTTTCTACTTTCTTTCTTAGGTTTTCTTTTCTTTCTTTTTTCTTATGCTTTCTTTCTTTCTTTCTTTCTTCTGGCATTCTTTCTTTCTTTCTTTCTTTGAAAGGTTATCAAACTTTCTTTTCTTATGCTTGTGTTTCTTTCTTTCTTTCTTCTGGCTTTCTTTCTTTTTCTTATCTTTCTTTTCTTTTTTCTTATGCTTTCTTTCTTTCTTTCTTTCTTATTTCTTTCTTTCTTTTTTCTTTTATTAAACTTTCTTTTCTTATGCTTGTGTTTCTTTCTTTCTTTCTGAATTCTTTCTTTCTTTGGTTCTTTCTTTCTTTTTTTCTTTCTTTCTTTTTCTTTCTTTTTTCTTATGCTTTCTTTCTTTCTTTCTTTCTTTCCTCTTTCTTTCTTTCTTTCTTTCTTTCTTTTTTTGAGAGGTTCTTTCTTTCTTATGCTTTCTCTCTTTCTTCTTTGCTTGTGTTTCTTTTTCTTTTCTTTTCTTCTTGGTTTTCTTTCTTTCTTTCTTTCTCAAACTTTCTTTTCTTTTCTTATGCTTTGTTTCTCTCTTTCTTTCTTTCTTTCTATTCTTTCTTTCTTTCTTTCTTTTCTATCAAACTTTCTTTCTTTCTTATGCTTTCTTTCTACTTTTCTTTCTTTCTTATGCATTGGTTCTTTCTTTCTTTCTTTTTTTCTTTCTTTCTTTCTTTCTTTCTTTCTTTCTTATGCTTTCTTTGGAATTGGTTTCTTTCTTTCTTGAGAGGTTATCAAACTTTTCTTTCTCTTATGCTTTCTTTCTTATACTTTCTTTCTTTTCTGGCATTGGTTCTTTCTTTCTTTCTTTTCTTCTTTCTTTCTTTCTTTCTTATGCTTTCTTTTTTTCTTCTTTTCTTTCTTTCTTTCTTTCTTTCTTTCTTTCTTTCTTTCTTTCTTTCTTATGCTTTCTTTCTTTCTTTCTTTCTTATCTTTCTTTCTTTCTTTTTCTTATGCTTTTCTTTCTTTCTTTCTTTTCTTTCTTTCTTTCTTTTTTTTCTGGCATTTCTTTCTTTCTTTGATGCTTTCTTTCTTTCTTTCTTTATTCTTGTGTTTCTTTCTTTCTTTCTTTGGCATTGGTTCTGTCTTTCTTTCTTAGGTTTTCTTTCTTTCTTTCTTATTTCTTGTCTTTCTTTCTTTCTTTCTTTTTTCTTGGTTCTGTCTGTCTTTGAAAGGTTATCAAACTTTCTTTTCTTATGCTTGTTTTTTTCTTTCTTTCTTTCTTATGGCTTTCTTTCTGTCTTTCTTTCTAGGTTATCTTTCTTTCTTTTTCTTATGCTTTCTGTTTTTTTCTTGACTTCTTATTCTTTCTTTGGTTCTGTCTTTCTTTGAAAGGTTATCTTTCTTTCTTTCTTATTTCTTTCTTTCTTTCATTTCTTTCTTTCTTTCTTTCTTTTCTTATACTTTCTTTCTTTTTCTTTCTTTTTTCTTATCTTTCTTTTCTTTTCTTTCTTATGCTTTGTTTCTTTTCTGACTTTCTTTCTCTTTCATTGGTTCTTTCTTTCTTTCTTTTCAAACTTTTCTTTTCTTTTATTTCTTTCTTTCAGCTTTCTTTCTTTCTTTATTCTTTCTTTTCTTTGAAAGGTTATCTTTCTTTCTTTTCTTTCTGTGTTTCTTTCTTTCTTTCTTTTGGCATTGGTTCTGTCTTTCTTTCTTTCAAACTTTCTTTTTCTTTCTTTGTTTCAGCTGACTTTCTTTCTTTCTGTCTTTCTTTCTTTCTTTCTTTCTCAAACTTTTCTTTCTTTCTTTCTTTTCTTTTTCTTTCTTTTATTGGTTCTTTCTTTCTTTCTTGCTTTCTTTCTTTCTTTCTTTCTTTTCTACTTTCTTTCTTTCTTTCTTTCTTTCTTGCTTTCTTTCTTTCTTTCTTTGCTTTTCTTTCTTTCTTTCTTTCTACTTTCTTATGGTTTCTTTCTTTTTTTCTTTCTTTATTTCTTATGCTTTCTTTGGTTCTTTCTGTCTTTCTTATGCTTTCTTTCTTTTTTCTTTCTTATGTTTTTCTTTCTTTCTTTCTTTCTTTCTTTCTTATTGGTTTCTCTTCTTTGAAAGGTTATCTTTTCTTTCTTTTTTTATGCTTTTCTTTCTTTCTTTCTTTCTTATGCTTTTGGTTCTTTCTTTCTTTCTTTCTTTTCTTATCTTTCTTTCTTTCCTTTTTCTTATGCTTTCTTTCTTTCTTATGCTTTTCTTTCTTTTCTTTCTTTCTTTCTTTCTTTCTTAAGGTTTCTCTCTTTCTTTCTTTCTTATGCTTTCTGTTTCTTTCTTTCTTTCTTTCTTATTTCTTTCTTTCTTTCTTTCTTAGGTTTTCTTTTCTTTCTTTTATTTCTACTTTCTTATTTCTTTCTTTCTTTCTTATGCTTTCTTTCTTTCTTATCTTTCTTTCTTCTTTCTTATGCTTTGTTTCAGCTTTCTTTCTTTCTTATGGCTTTTGGTCTTTCTTTCTTTCTTATGGTTTCTTTTTACTTTCTTTTCTTTCTTTCTTTGTTTTCTTTCTTTCTTTCTTTCTTGTATTCTTTCTTTCTTTCTTTTCTTTCTTATAACTTTCTTTTTTTATGCTTGTGTTTCTTTCTTTCTTTCTTTTACTTTCTTTCTTTCTCTTCTTTCTTTCTTTCTTTCTTTCTTTTTTCTTATGTTTCTTTCTGATCTTTCTTTCTTTCTTTGGTTCTTTCTTTCTTTCTTATGCTTTCTTTCTTTCTTTCTTTCTTTCTTATGCTTTTCTTTCTTTCTTTTCTTTCTACTTTCTTTCTTTCTTATGCTTTCTCTCTTTCTTTCTTTCTTTCTACTTTCTTTCTTTCTTATGCTTTCTCTCTTTCTTTCTTTCTTATGCTTTCTTTCTTTCTTTCTTTCTTTTTTTTTTTTTTTTTTTTTTTTTTTTTCTCATTTTTTTTTTTTTTTTTTTTTCTTTCTTATGCTTTCTTTCTTTCTTTCTTTCTTATTTCTTTCTTTCTTTCTTTCTTATGCTTTCTTTCTTTCTTATGCTTTCTTTCTTTACTTTCTACTTTCTTTCTTTCTTTCTTTTCTTTCTTTCTTTCTTTCTTTCTTTCTTTCTTTCTTTCTTTCTTTCTTTCTTTCTCTCTTTTTTTCTTTCTTTTGCTTTCTTTCTTATGCTTTCTTTCTTTCTTTCTTTCTACTTTCTTTCTTTCTTTCTTTTCTTTCTTTCTTATTTCTTTCTTTCTTTCTTATGCTTTCTTTACTTTCTCATTCTTTCTTTCTTTCTTTCTTATTCTTTTTGCTTTCTTTCTTTCTTTTCTTTCTTTCTTTCTTTCTTTCTTTCTTTACTTTCTCTTTCTTTCTTTCTTTTCTTTCTTTCTTTCTTTCTTTCTTTTTTTCTTTTCTTTCTTTTCTTTTTTCTTTCTTTTCTTATGCTTTTCTTTCTTTTCTTTCTTATACTTTCTTTCTTTCTTTCTTTCTTATGCTTTCTTTCTTTCTTTCTTTTTCTACTTTCTTTCTTTCTTATGCTTTCTCTCTTTCTTTCTTTCTTTCTTTCTTATGCTTTCTCTCTTTCTTTCTTTCTTATGCTTTCTTTCTTTCTTTCTTTCTTTCTTATGCTTTCTTTCTTTCTTTCTTTCTTTCTTTCTTTCTTTCTACTTTCTTATGCTTTCTTTCTTTCTTATTTCTTTCTTTCTTTCTTTCTTTCTTTCTTTCTTTCTTATCTTTCTTTCTTTCTTTCTTTCTTTCTTTCTCTTTCTTTCTTTCTTATGCTTTCTTTCTTTCTTTTCTTTCTTCTTTCTTTTCTTTCTTTCTCTTTTCTTTCTTTCTTATCTTTCTCTCTTTCTTTCTTTCTTATACTTTCTTTCTTTCTTTCTTTCTTATGCTTTCTTTCTTTCTTTTTACGTTTTTATTCTTTTTTCTCTTTTTACTTTCTTATTCCATTCTTTCATTTTTTTTCATTATCTTTTCTTATTCTTTTTTCTTTCGTTTTCCTTTCTTAATTTTTCTTTTTACTTTATATTCTTTCTTTCTTCCTTTCTTTCTTTCTTTTTACTTTCTTATTCTTTCTTTCATTTTACTTTATATTCTTTCTTTCTTCCTTTCTTTCTTCCTTTCTTTCTTATTCTTTCTTTCTTTTTACTTTATATTCTTTCTTTCTTCCTTTCTTTCTTTTTACTTTCTTATTCTTTCTTTCTTTTTTACTTTATATTCTTTCTTCCTTTCTTTCGTTTTGCTTTCTTATTCTTTCTTTCTTTCTTTTTACCTCATATTATATGTTTTGTTTTACTTTATATACTTTATTTCTTTCTTTCTTTCTGTCGTTTTACTTTCTTATTCTTTCTTTCTTTCTTTCTTTCCTTTCCTAACAGAGACCATGTATCGTTTCTTATATGTCTTTTCTTTTTTTCCACGCGATCAAAACGGGAATAATCTACTACTGAATAATCATTGGCAGGAAACATTAATCAATTCATTCTTTCTTTATTTATTTATTTCTTTCTTTCTTTCTTAAACGGAAACCATCTAGCGTTTCTTATATGTCTTTTCCGTTTTCCCGCGCGATCAAAACGGGAATAGCTCATTACTTATGATTTACTGGCAAGACGTAACGGTTGCGTTAACAAAAGCGGGGAACTAGAAGAATCGAAGCAATATATTATAACTGCCATATGATTATCAGTTCTTTTTGACTTTATCTCTGGATTCAGATATTTTAACGGCGAATACATATATTTAATTACTTGTAGTTTTGAGGGCTTACTTCAACTGCGTTTTACTGCTGCTTAAGCTACTCGCATTTTTCAGGACTTACGTCAACATCACGTTGAGACGCCGGACCCCGTACGATCATCGAATTTAAGCAACGTCGTGCCTGGCCAGTATCTAAATAGGTGACTACTTGGGTATACCACGTGATGTATGCTTGGATGGGCGACTGGAATAGATAACGACCAGGAATAGATAATCAGAGAGCCGAGTTCCAATTCCAGTCAGGTTTGTTATATTCACTTATATTCACATTGGGAAATGTATTACTCCACCTCTTTTGTTCTCCCTAGCTATGGGTTAATTAGTAAAACGTGTATCACTAAATCATTATTATCTGAAATTTTTTCTGGCTTTAAATAACCTGCAAATGGCTGAAAAGCAATCGAAAATGAATCAATCAAACCAATAAAAATCATTTTTCGGTTCGTGGAAGGAAATTTTAAAAACATGATATCTGACTGTATTATGCAAAACTGGCTTAATGGTGATAACATTTACTTTGAAATAAAGCCCAGAATTAAAACAAATAAAAAAAAACAGTAATTGTTGAATGTTATTTTTAAAACGCAAGGCAATGCATAATCCACCTAGAAATTTTCGGTATCATTCCGATGCAACAAGCTCACCCATATGTCAATCATTTAGTAACCACCAAAAATATTATTTTACAAATATACAATATAGGACTGATTAAAAAACAAAAAAAAAATATTCCTTATTTTTTTTACAACATATTTTATATATGCAGGTGTAATAAACTAACGAATAAAAATAACGGTATTTATAGAAACAGATGGCGACAATAAACGTTGCATTTAAATTTTTGTCTATTGAAGTTGACAGCAAAGTAAGACCCAGGAAGAGAGTTCCACTGGCGAAAAGTAACACAGTAATTGAAATCAGTAATTTGAAACGGAAAATGATGAGACCTAACTGCCAATCTAGCAATACGTTTATATTCACGAAGTCGAGGAACCGAAGGATAAAAATCATTAGAACAATTCTCATGAAAATTGGAGTTGAATTTTCAAATCGCTGTTCCCTTTCAGTCTGAATTCAAAGAAAAAATCAGATTATTTTGGAATAAGGAATCGATATAGAACTTAATCGATCCCATTTAGTAAGATAACGAATCGATATTAATAAAATTAATGGTTTTAATGGTGTTCAATACTGGTTAAAACCATTTTCATTAGAATCGATCATCTGTCATTTCTAACAATTAAAACTAGCGCAGGTTAGTCGATTGTCAGCTCCCTGATAATGTCGTTAAGGTATTAAATAAATAAAGACTCAAAATCCAATGTTTTCCAAGATCTATTGAAGATAAAAAAAACAAAACAAAAGAAAAAAAACAAAAACAAAAAAAACAGTTTAAATGAGGGAAAATTACACAAATGAAATAAACATTGAAATCACCTTTCCGGCAATTTTCTCTTTCAGGCAAAAAATAAAATAAATTAACTTTTTCTTAAAATAAAATAAATGTTAATGATCTACATATTATAATTGAGTTATGTGCAATTTTAATTTTTTTCCGTTCTTCATTTTCGTCTAAATCTTACATTTCAAGTTGTATAATACCGAGGTGTAACTTTGAAACATATCTTATGATTTTCTAGAATAGTTCACGCGGTAATGTATAGAACTTAGCGTTCCTTTGACAAAATCAGTACTCAGTGCTTATAATCCATTTTTCTCAAGTGACATTGCATTCAATGCCAGGTTTTACATAGAGTATGTGTGTATGTGGGTCAGTAAAATTAAACATTACAAATTATATATATATATATATATATATATATATATATATATATATATATATAGGTAAATTTATAAAGTTTAATCTAAGTTTATTAAGGTTATTTTTTTTTTTTTTCGGAACTGATAAGGGAATGAAGAAACTGATACAATAATTATATTCTCAAGCGCTTTAAGCCAATCGATTAAGCATTTTCAAAGTGTCCGTTAGATGAAGAATGCTTAACACATCTTATATATAAAGTACAGTTTATGTGTGTACGTTTGTGCGTGTGTGTCCAGGCAACACTCTCTGCTCCCACTGGTCAGATTTCAATGATTCATAGCTCAATCAAAGGCCCTAGAAAAGTTAGGCGTAGGAAACAATGTTTTTTTTTTTTTAACTCAGATTCAGGGTTGCCAGATCATGCGAGGTTAAATATATATATTAATATATTATACTAGCCATTACCATTGCTTTCAAGGTTCAAGGGGAGAAACTCTTATTTTCTTTTTGTATCTGAAATTGCAGTGCACGTTTTATAATAAACTAGCTTAAAATCCGCTCTATCGGGCAGCATTTAAGCAAGGTCTTGTGGAGGACTCTTGGTTTGGCCAGCATCACAATAGGTAGGGAGAAGTAGATGCGATAGGCATCAATAAACTACAAAAGAATCTAAGATTGATAACTGCATTTAAGTATTGAATTAATATTTAAGCTTATTTTTTAAAAGTTCAACGATAATTCTACTGCCACTTAATTTAAAGACGATTTGATGCACGTAGATCCTTATTTTCCGTAGAAACAATTATTTTTATATAATGGGTGACAGAACATAGGAAAATTTATAAGATAAAATTAATATAGTCTAAAGATGGGAAAATAGAAATTAGAATTCGTTATACATTCAACATTTAAAGAGTTAGAGAAACATAATAGCTAATTAAATAAAACCTATATTATGCACTCTATATGAATATATGCAAAATTGGATGGCAATTATCCAACGAATTCTGGGGTTAAAAAGCCCCAACTCTAATATAGTCATTTATACACTAAAAGGTCAATATCTGCATTATATATTATCCACTTTTCTTTAGGAATACTGTCTTATATAATGCAGAAAAGTATTTGAAATTTGCATTTTACTTGGACTTCAACAAATTGGTATCTATTTATAAAACTTTCCTTCACTATAAGTCAATTTACGAATGAAATGTTTTTACATGTTTTTGTGTTGTGGAATGATTTCGCAGTGGAGTCTTGTATTTGTACAAAAGCGGTCTAAAATAGGTTCACGTACAAAACGTTAGGAACTTGATGTAATAGCTATCACGCAGAGTAATCTAGTTGTGGTCGCAGATACTTTCATATTCGACTAACTGTCGTCCGACATCGACTGACTGACTGACTGACTGACACGTTACTCTTACTACTTCTACTTATTATAGGTGGGAGAGAATAGACGTATTCCAGGATAACATTTTTTTTGAAAGATTTCAAGTTGTGAATATATCTTTAACTTGTAGCGCCTGGGGTGGCAGTACCGCCTTAGACACCGAAACTGTTTTACATCCCATGGTCCGTTCGGGGTATGATGATAAACTACATCCGTGTCCTGGGTAAGACGATAAACTACATCCAACAGCAAGTCCTTTGTTGAGGAGGTTTTGAGGAGCGTGGAACCACCTCTTAATTGCTAGTGCTCGGTTAATGCAACTTATCTGGTAGGTATACATAGTGGATAGGGCTTTGATCTTCATGTAGCGACGAAAGGGAAATAACTATGTAAGAAGCAGGCCCGGGGAAAAGGCGCCACTGTAGTCAGGCATGTATTAAAACAAAGGTCCACCGTGACGCGCGGTGGCAGCACCTGCTAGAGTCCCAGCTATGGGCAAATAGTTAACCTCCTCCCCAACTGGGGCCAAAACACTATGAAAGTGTAAAAATAAGTTTTAATATGAGAAATACTTACATTATTACCTGCAATACATTATTAAAAAAAAATACCAGCTATAAATTTTTCAAAATATATTACTATTGTTCCAGGTCTATATTAAGTATGCGACAAAACACTCTACACAGAGACGGCCGCGTACGACTACCAGTATTGGACACTAACATATAGTAAGCTCCGCTTACACTATCTCTGTAATCTGTTCTTAATATATCTTTCTTACATCTAATCCGTGTTCCGTGTTTTACTTCTGTGGTCCCAACTTTGGCCCCACATCAATTACTAGCAATACATTTTGAAGAAAAAAAATTACCAGCAATTCATTTTCGAAAAAAAAAAAATTACCAGCGAAAAAATTTTTGTCGGCATTAAATAACCCTTTGAGGTTGATATGTCATAAACCAAACCAAACATCTCCTGGTTGGCGGCTGACAAGGGCAGAGTAGCCCACGTGTATTCACACGTTGTATGTAGACAGTTAAGAAGACAGACAATTTTGCATGTAGGCTTTTTTATAATGAAGCAATGGAGCCGTCATAGTACGAGAATTTATTAGTTTTTTTTTACGCAGTCAATAGGAGATACATTATACACAAGTATACTTCGATCAGCTTAAAATTCATGCATTTTCGGTAAATGTAACTTACCTGGTAGGCGTACATAGTGGATAGGGTTTTGCTCTTCATGTAGCAACGAAAGGGAAATAACTTAGACTATGTAGGAGTCAGGCACGGGAAAAAAAAGCGCTACTGTAGTCAGGCATGTATTAAAACAAAGGTACGGTATGTAAATCTCGGTATCAGATATTTTACGGTAAGTGGTTTTTCTCATCATTTTGGGGTAGCTTTGTACAAAAAAAGAATGAAGACAATTTATTTGCTATAAAATATGCCCAGGATGATGCCCAGTAGTGC